ATACACACACTAACCATGCTGTGTATTTCAACGAGATTAAAGGCAAAAGGAGACAAATCTTGCAACCTAAGCTATGAAAAGATGAGGGAAGGAGAAAATAAAAGTCTACAAATTAGGTTACGAAGCAAATAATAAGAGATTATGATTTATGAGTGACAATTTCTTCATCCTTTCCCTGGTTAATAAGGAAAAAGAAGTTATACTTCTTTATGTTACATGTTCACTCAATTGGGCTCATTTAAATCTTACGCAATATTATCTATGGTTATGATATATATAATTGAATTTTGAAACAGTAAATAATTATAACATTATGTATCATGATGACCATAAAGACAACCAATGAAACTCTATTTATCTAAAAGTTTGCTTCTGGAAAGATTTAATAAAGAACTAATGATGCATGGAGATAATTTATCCATTACTCCAATCTTCTCTTCTTTCCTTAGTTTAAAATCTAAACACACACACAAAAAAGATATGCTAAACAAACTTTTCTATCCACTTCCCACAACTAAAATGAACTCTAAGCCAAATGAAAATACTAAAGGGGTTAAATATATGATAGATTAACATTAGAGAAAGCCTCCACCCGTCCATGTTGAATCTGATTTCCCATTGTGACCAACAGCTTTCTTATCGGGTGGACTTTGGTAGATATTATCATATCCATCATCCTTGCTATCATCCCATCCAGCCCAACCATCATTGTTTGGGAAACAGTTCCCATTTTAGAATCTCCCTTTCTATTTTCTTTAGTGTCCCAGTCGTCCCATGAACTTGAGCCATAAGAGTTGTTATTCTCATGACTAGAAGCATAGCTCCACTACCCTTATTGATATCTTCTTTTCTTTTGTCCTTAGTGTCCCAGTCATCCCAAGAACTTGAGCCATAAGAGTTGCTATTCCCACTTAGATATTATCATATCCATCATCCTTGCCATCATCCCATCCAGCCCAACCATCATTGCTTGGGAAACAGTTCCCATTTTAGAATCTCCCTTTCTATTTTCTTTAGTGTCCCAGTCGTCCCATGAACTTGAGCCATAAGAGTTGTTATTGTCATGACTAGAGGCATAGCTCCACTACCCTTATTGATATCTTCTTTTCTGTTGTCCTTAGTGTCCCAATCATCCCAAGAACTTGAGCCATAAGAGTTGCTATTCCCACTAGAAGTGTAGTTCCCACTACCCTTTTTGGTATCTTCTTTTCTATTGTCTTCAGTGTCCCAATCATCCCAAGAACTCAAGCCATAAGAGTTGTTAGTAATTCCCACTGGTAATGGATTGCCCCCAAGACGTAGAATTCCATCCTCTATTATTCTCCTGTTTATTGAACTCTTGATAATACCATTCTTCTCATTCTCAGGTTGCCAATTATCATTCTTCCAGTTCATGCCATCTTTAGTGTACTCCTCAACCTTCTGGCTAGCAAGTGCCATGACCCCTTTCATGATCCTCCATGTCTTCTGACCAGTTTCTGTTGTCTTTGCAGTGACAACATTGACAGTTTCGTTAACCTTGTAATCATAGCCACCTTCCTTAACCTGTAAAAGAAGTCAATTCAGGCATGCGTGTCTAGATCAAAACATTGGCAACTTTTTAAAAATAGTACAAGCAAACAGCTAGAAGAGAACATTAAGGATGTATTTGTACAAGCACCAAACACAAGGCATAAGAGCTTAACTTGAACAATCACAGAATCTTCAGATTGCAAAACAATTATAAAGTCAAAAGAAATGCTTTTGCATTTAAGAGGGATATTTGCAAAGTAATTTAGAGAGCAAAATGTGCATGCAACTTAAATTAAGCTTTAAAAAACAGACATACAAGTAATTCCAAAAACTTGAAAAATAACTTGCAGAAGGAACTGAAGTGGTTACTAGAACGAAACATGGTTTATATTTATTTGATTAATGAATCATGTTTTGTGTGTTTTCATTGGCAGATTTGTGATTGTTTATTTTGATGATATTCTAGTATATAGTAAAAGCTTAATTGATCATATTGAGCATTTTAGAATGGTCCTAGAGGTTTTGAGAAAAGGAAAATTGTTTGTTAACCTTAAAAAGTGTTCATTTTGCACAAATTAGATTGTGTTTTTAGGTTATGTCGTTCCAGCTAACAGAATTGCAGTTGACAAAAAAAGGTTGAATTTATTTCTTAGATAATAACATCCTTGGCAGGAGACATCATATCATCCAAAAATCTTTAATTAAATATTTCCCTCCCAACCTAGGAAGAAAACTTGTAAAAATATAGGACAATGATATGAACACATAATGGGCAACACTCAAATCAACACTCAGCGGACCGATAGAAGTAAATTGGTAAATTTACCCTCCTCACAGTTCTACCGGTCAGCTGGGTGTTGATTTGGGTGTTGCCCATTGTGTGTCCATATCATTGTCCAAAAATATATCATGCCTTCTTGGTGACCATGAAGGATTGCCACATAAAATTCCCCCTCTCCCACCAAAAGTAATAATAATAATAATAATAATAATAATAATAAATAAAATAAACTAAAAAAGAGGAAACATAAAGATGAAAAAAAGCTATTACCCAGATTTTGTTCCTCTCTCTCTCACACACAGCATAACCCACACACAACAAACATTAGAAAAATCAATCATGCTCCTTTAGTCAAGATATGGGAGGTGGAATGCAAAATAAAAGAGGAACCAGGATAAAATGTTTGTTTTGCTCTTTAATCACATCTTATCTGAGTATCCTTCAAGCTCACAAAAACAAAGACTCCAATTGACAGGAAGATTAAAATATTTCATTAATACCTTCTCAGACCTCAAGCCTGAACAAAATCTATATGAAAAATTTTGAACTCAATAGTTTTCATAAGATAATTCACAGATGTTATCTAATACTGAATAATCTAAATAACTTCAAATT